TTTAGAGACAGAACATGTTCAAACAATCTATAATCACCATAGAAATATAAAATGGACTGAGAGCTATGTTTACACAGCTTACAGTATAATATTTCACTTTATATTCAATGAACAGATAGCAATACTGGGCTATTCAGTAAATGCATGTTGTTGAATACTGTAATTCTGGTTGATTTTAAAAATGTTGATAGCAACCTTCGACCTACCACATCAAACTTAATCAAAATATGATTTTTGTAAACTAGCATAACCAGGGCAAATGTCGGAATATATCTTAGATTGATCGGAAATTGTTCTAGGGTATTAATTACAAGTGGTGGACATCAGTTTGGCACTAAACTAAAATAACTTATGTGTTCATTTTATACTTAATTAGGCAGAAATAAAACAACTTTTTAAGTCAATTTAGTGTTTAGATTTTGGACATGGTGCAATTATTTGCACTAAATACACCTAATGTAAACAATACATGTTATACAGTCCAATACGAACACTTAATTTCAAAGATATGACCAAAATACGGATTGTAATGACTCCATTTGGTGGAAATTCAAATTTTGACTCGCTTGTAAAATTAAGCAGTATTTACTTCAAACTAACGACGCTAATTCTCATCAAGATGCATCAAGATGCAGTTTTTTAAAACTAAAATATCAAAGGAATGTTGTATAGTATAATTTATTGTGATCGGAGGCAGTAAAATATGAAAAAATCAGAAAAAATAAACACATACCTACCATGCTTCTGTGATAGTCAAATCCTTCCAAACCCTTGTGTAACATTGCATCGCTTGCAATTCTTTGATTCCCGTTGAATTCATCTTGTTTATGAGTTTTGCACATCGTTTCCATGGTATACTTATGTTATTTGAGGAAATTATATAAAAATCCAACTGTTATTGTGTAAAAACAAGCAGTGAAGTACTCACACGATATATAAACTAGCCGCCATTTTATCACCCGATTGATTCGATCAATTTCTCATTCTAGCATCTGATTGGTTTTGAGCGCCCAATACGCGATTTTGTAAAAAATCTCCTCTTAATGCTTCTTCATAAGTCAGTCCAAGACAAATTATCCTAAGCGCACGCTTCTGAACTCGTTCTATGTCTGTAGACTGTTCCTTGGTTAAGTTTCCATGCCAATTGTGGGTGTTTAAGTGGGTGGTCATTCTCACTGATCTCATAATATAGCGGATTGTCATGAATAGCCAACACTGATTGGTCCAATTTAAAATTGGCATTATAACGGCTGCAGGAAGACAGCGAAATTGATATTTTGATGATTTCTTGCACATATATTTCATTTTTGCAAGATTTCATTTTTGCATTATATTTCATTTTTGCAAGGCAAAAGAATTGCTAAAAGAAGGGAATAAAGGTGTCGACGTTACCGAAGGTAAGTTTGTTTTAATTATTGATGCTTTGTTTGCTTTTAATATACTGTAATTACTTTAAAAGCCGATCGTTGCCTATAAATATGAAACAAAACAGCGTATTATTTCAGTGCTTCTTTACTGATTACCCTTTTTATTATACTGAGCAAAGTTATTTGCACAGAAGAATTTGGAATAATTTTATTTCGAACCCAAAGTTCATCGATAAAAGCAGTTAATTTTAGTTGTATATTAAAGAACACTTTAAAATGTTTTGCGAAGCGTTTGTGGTTGACTTTTACCTTAAAAGGAAGTGGCAATATTTTTTTTTATTTTTTCGTTTGAAAGAACATTTAAAACCATATATAAAACTTGTTTACCGTTTTTTCATATCTTGCTTACTTCTACAAATATTTTAATCGAAAGAAATGAAATGTCCCCCATCTTGGATTTTTGTAGATATGCATGTTACGTCACAACAGGGGTCATGCATTTTTTTTATCTAGACAACCACCAATCAATTTGCACTCAAAATTATACTCCATATGCCCTTGGAAATATCAAGAGCACTTGAAACCTTTAAAACATCTACCAATCAATATTTGGTCAACAACGAATACTTTTATATGGTTAATTCCTGTTGATACGTCACCAAAACTACCAATAATGAGATAAAACATTTATCCAATATGGCTGATATATCATTACTTCAAGTGAAAATATTTCAAGAACTAAGCAAGATATAAAGACTCGGTAAAAGAAGTTATTAAATAGTTTCAAAAATTCTTTCAAATGCGAAAATAAAAAATATATTGCCATTATTATACATATATTCTAAAAAGCACTAAAATAGTCATGTTCCTACCTAACTATGATATTTTATTAGAATAGTCACATGTTACACCTTCGTCTTGGTGAGATAATCTGCGAAACACACTCCTTCGCACAAGAACATGTCACATTATAGACACTTATTAGCAGTTTTTGTGTCCTTTCTCTTTCCTTCACTTGTTCTTGGTACTGAATTTTTGGAGCCGTTCACATTGTATTAGTAATAGTATAACTTCAACCATAAAAAAAAGAAAGTTATTTGCAGCAAGTAGGGAAAGCTACATATTTTATGAAAGCTTATGGGATGAAGATTATTAAAAAATAGGTTTTGAAAAATATTTCGGTACTTACTGTAGCCAGGGGGGTGATGAGTTACAGCTTTTTGAAGAATAATTAGCATAATTTTTATCATGGCATTAATTCAAATTAGTTTACAAGGTCTAGAAAAATCTGATTTATTTCAAAAATAATACAAATTAGTTCATGAGGATATAGTCAAAGCAGCTATAAATTTTTGTTTCAATCCAATTTGTCGTTTTGGAGAAATTGGAGTTTTATGAAATTGGATCGTTGTACAAAAATCTATGGCGGCCATCTTGGATTTCTGAAAAACCAAAATTTCACACCCAGATTGCTTTGTTTTATACAAACTATTATACATATATTCTAAAAAGCACTAAAATAGTCATGTTCCTACCTAACTATGATATTTTATTAGAATAGTCACATGTTACACCTTCGTCTTGGTGTGATAATCTGCGAAACACACTCCTTCGCACAAGAACATGTCACATTATAGACACTTATTAGCAGTTTTTGTGTCCTTTCTCTTTCCTTCACTTGTTCTTTTGCTTCCACAGACTTTACATATTCCCCTCTTTTCTCCTTTCTTTGCACCACTTGTATAGTGCTTCCCTTTCAATCGTGAAAGTATGCTGGTGGCCGGCCTGGTCCTGAAAGTGGAACGAGGGCTACCACCAATGTGCAAATCAAGTAAAGGTTGACACAGGCAATAGGCCAAGCGAAGCCGCAGTTGCTTATGTACTACCATACCTTACTGTCCTTGAACCTTCTGATTTGGTGCACATCAGTGACACAGACAGAACTCAAGCTAGTTTTCGTTGTCTTATCTTTTTGCTTGGATGTAATACTACGTCTGCTTTGTTTACAACTTGGTCCTGGTTCATCATCGGCAGTGGTCGACCCCGGCGAAAGCTACATAAGAAAGGAACAACAGACATAATTACTTGTCTGAGCAATTAGGCTTACAAATTTGGGACAACAATTGGGGTATTAGATTCAGTACAATTTCAACCTACAATTTCCCCTGACAATTCATCACTTTCAGCATTACTGTCGTACTTCAGGGTAAAAAGTAAAAATATAATACTTGGAATATTGTATATATTATATGTTATCTATTGGCATAATATTAATTTATGTTGTCAACATTTATATATCAATTTGTATTTATTATATTTTATAACCAAGAATAACATCAAAATAGAAAGGATAATAGTGACACTTACCTTCAATTCTCAATCAAGAAAAAGCATTGGTTCTCTCTCGTGTGCAGGGGCACTTGTGTCCTCATAAATAAGTGTTATATTTTTGCCAAATTCATCTTCAAAATCTGTAACCAGTTGGTCGTCTGTATTGTTAATTTCCACAGCAAAATCGGCTAAAACAAATGCCAAAACCCTCTTCCATGTTGTACGATGTTTCAGCCATATCACATTTCTCAAAATCGAAATGTTTACTTCAATAAATTGCAGTTTATTTCATCAAATTTCGAGCAAACTCTTGCATGTTTGGTATTGCAAATAAAGCAAAATTATCCCAGATTGCATTTCAAGCATTCGCAGCCTCATCCACCCGCAAACCCGCGAGAAAAGGCGAAAATAGAATGGGGAGGTGACTTGGGGTCGTATACGACCCCATCCGTAATTTAAGAGTTAAGACTCAAGTGCATGTGAGAAGGTCCCCAATTAGTTATTATATAGTCTATATATATAGTGTTAGTATTAATATTGATATATCCATGAGTATTAACATTTATATCCGGTTTCTATGTGTTTCTTATGTTCTATTAAAAACTATTGTCTCAGTCCCTGTTGGCTGTTGGTTAAAACATTTCAAAAACGTTTCGATAGAAAACATTGGCTACAAATTAATGGAAATGCTAGACTTCTTTATTGCCAAGACAAGGTCTCAACCCAATAATTATCTGCATGGCTAATGTCGCTTATCCCCTCTATATTTAAATTTCAACAAAAGTCATAAACAACTCGCTGGAATGTTGTTACAATTACTATTATTGAAAATAACTAAATAAATGGTTATATATTGTCGTATTACAAATCTACGCATCAAAACTATACTCAGCTGTTACAAGGTAAGGTAGTTAAGGTGGTATAGCCAACAGTGTCAAATTGAGAAGCGTCAAAACAATGCTACTGAACGTGTTCAAAGTTGAAAGCATATGTTATGTTTGATCATATACCAATTATTTGAACAATTTTTAAATTACTGACTGAGAACATACTGTAGCTATATATATGACATCAATGCCAGTAAATTGCAAATGTGGATAGCAGGATATTTTGCTGTATAGCGAAGTGGCGAATAGTTCACTACATTTTTTTTAAAGTACCTACTATCAGTAGCGAACTACATTTCATGTGATGTGGCTGGCTACAATAGTTGTGATGTGGCTGGCTACAATAGTTGTAGCTGACCACCGAGATAGCTTTATAGCGAGCTACAACAATTTTTTAGTTAACAGAGCCTTGGTATCTATAGGTATCATATAACAAACAATATAGGTGGTGTGCAAGTTCCGTCACGCCATGTTGGATGACATTGACAATTAAAGAATTTTCCTTGTTTGCAATGCAAACTCATCCAACATGGTGAAAATCTATTTGTCTTTTGAATCCCATGGGAGTGGTTGCACATCACCTATATGCATGCCTTCAATGGACTTGACACTCTTTAGGCCAGGGTCAAACGTCGAACTTTTCATGTGCCGAACCTAATGTTAATGAGCTAAGTTCTTTGTTTCACTTCATTTGCATTAGGTTCGTTAATTCGGCACATGAAAAGTTCGACGTTTGACCGTGGCCTTAGCTGCATGGTTAAACCATGCATATACATATAAATGAACCTATACATTTAATCTTTATAGTTCATGAAAAGCAAGTTCTAAGGCTATGCAGTTATATAAGCTATACAAATACTTAATTTTCATTTTTGTGGCCAATAGCCCAAAACATGCAGTTCTATATATATATATATATATATATATATGCTGTAAAGGGTATATTTAAATTTAAAGTCGTTGAAAAGCAATTATAATATAAGTTCTTTGTATGTTTGCATGGCGATAAAACATATAATAGTTTTGTTTGTGGAAACACCGCGTAAATTTATTACTGCAATTTATTACTTTAATTTATTTCTTATTATTTATATAATTATAATATAGTTGATTGGCAGTTGATTAATATTCGATATAATAATCGGTTTTGAAGTAGAAAATAATTAAACCCCATTAAGAACCGACTCTCGCTGGTTTCATATTAGCTAAAATACTGCATTCATGTTGTAATGTAGTTCTCTTATGCGAATTTTATACTGTTTAGTCGATATACTTAGTCATACAGCTATTTGGTTGTCCTCCGAGCAAAGCGGAAAAGTCGAATACGAGCGCGAAAGACT